CCTTACATAAACTAGCTTTAAAATTTGACGGTAAATGCAAAAATTGAAAAAAAATCGGAGTGTTCCATTTGAAATAACCAAGTTATTGAAATTAAAAAAACATGCAATTTTGGATGCTTATTGGGCGGTTTATTGGAAACTTTTCGTAAATTAACGTAGCTTGTTTAGTCCTTTTGGAGGTCCACAAGTCCGATTTCAAAATTCGTAGCGATCAGGGTACAGCACCAATTTCTGTGGAATTTAGCAGCTGTCAAAATTTTCATATTTTTTCGAATAATTCGAAAGCCATAAATTTTTCAGGTGAGACGTTTGAAATAAACTTATATTAAATTTGAATATTTAAATTTGACGATAAATCCAAAAAGCCCAAAAAAGGGGGGTTCCATTTAAAAAACCATAGTTGCTAACTACCACATATTTATGTCGCACCCCGTATATTGAAAAGTAATTTAAAAATGTGAACCTTTTAAGCATCAAAAACTTTTGTGGGAAGTATTTTCTTCTAAAGTTCATATTTAATAAGATATCGCACTCTGACGCACTAATGAGCAACCCTGTATATTCGAAATGTATATCGGATAGGCAGAGCAATAAGCCTCAAATAATATGCCGTGCGGTTGACCATTGGATCTATTAGATGAATATCAATTTTTAGGAAACGATTTCTAACCCATGCTATGCTGTATATGATTTATGCATAATATGGTAGGTCGAACAATTGATTACTCGCACCTAATGGATTCTCTTGGAAAATAACGCATGGACAGTGCAAACTTTTATGAATCAATAGTTATAAATTTAGATGCTTTTAAAAGCCTATGGATTCTGGTTAATATTTCAGAGACCAAAGTGGATAGATAGTATATAATGATCCAAGAATCATATTTTGATAAAGTTTGTCAGATTCAAAATTATGGACCACTCGAGATTTCCCAAGTTAAAGTGGACGTTTTTAAATATATGGCATCCCTCCCTTGGCATAATGCGAAAGTTTCATAATAAAGCTTATAGAATGTACGTAAAACAACTTTACCTATGTAATCTATTTCCAATAAAGTTCAAATTATTTTTGTGTGCATATCCAGTGTACCTATCCGAAGCTTTGAAATGTGTGTGAAACTTAGTGTCAGGGCCATGTAATTGTATTTGCAGGATGATCAGTGCTCGTGCAAGCGATATTTCTTAAAAATTAGGACTTGAAGTTGCAAGTTTTAGGACATCGGGGTCCGAACGAAATACCGAGAGTCTAGATTGTTTTGTAGATATTAAATTGAAAACAAATTTACAATAAATTGATAAAGCCAGGTGTTTCAGTCACTGAACACTAAATGCTTTTTGCGGTATGGAAGCTGTACTAGTTATTCAGGATTGATCAAGTTTTACCGATAAGTGAAACAGTGCTCTTTCTCCTGTTTCATTAATAAAATAATTTAACTTCATTCTAAATTTCCGCAGAAATAGTAGCATATCAAACGCTTACATATTTAGTTTATCCCCAAAAATGTAAATACATTTTTCGGATCAGAACAAATCTTCTCGATTCAAATTTTTATATCCCTAGTCAATGTCATATCAATCAATCAAAAACTATGTCATATCAATGACATAGTTTTATCAGTGGAGACTAACTGCAAATGTCACAAACCGTGAACCCTGAACATTTACCATCTAACCATAAAATCACAAGCAACTCCGCAACAAAAATGCCAGCTGGTCACAAAAATTAACTGAAACATTACATAAAATAGAGTATAGTAGCGAGAGTTTTGCTCCTTTTTTCAACTAACTATCATTTCTAACTTTAGGTTTAAAGTTATCAACAAAAATTGATGGAGTTCCTTGGAAAAGTAGCATACTTTCAGTTTGCTTGGGTATTTCTCGCTTATCCCTGCGGAGATTTTGCCAAATGCCAAATTTATTTAATTAAAAACACTACGGAATAGTATGCTAGATGGTCCACTATGGTTAATCATTATTTCCGGTAAAACAATTTAAAAACTTTTAAAAAAATTATTATTTTGGATAAAAAAGTATATTTCTTTCTAAGAAAATATATAAAACTTTTATTTAAATGTAAAAACTACCACCTACACTAGACTAGTTTAATTTCAGTTTATTCGCCGAGTAATGATCCAGGACCTAAACGAGAGTGTTTCTTCAAGTAACGGGTTTTTAAGCATCTCTTCGGAGTGGATTTGGAAATCCCAAAAGGTCTAGGTACTTGGTTGATTCCCATTTCGTTATTGTCTATAGCTAATCCAGCATTTTTTAGGTTTTCCTAAGTTTCCTTTAGTATTGTTTCGAATGTACACATCTTTTAGGCATCTTCATTAAAATACTGAAATTAGAAATGCAAGCAAAAGTAAATGCTGGTCCGTTTGTCCTACTAAATATTGGCCCAACTATCCTGAGTGGGAGGGACAGATTGACTTTCCTTATGTGAAAAATTGCCCATAAATAAAATATTGAAAGTTAAAATCCGTGTTGGTATTTTGCATCACATATTTGATGCCTGTTCAATTGTCATATATTAGTGTTTTTATTAATTGGATAATTAAAGCTATTAACCCAAACCCTCGGCCTAAATGCTAATTGGAGAAATGAGTGCGAAAGCAATAAATTTGCCGTGATCTATTTAATCTTGCACAATGTGGGAGTCATTTGATAATGACCTTCAACTTCAGCGGTAGATGCATTGGCCTGAAATCCTGCCAGAGCGCGCGCACAAACGCCAGGCATCGAAGAAAGTCTTTGTTGGGTTGCCGGTTACATCAAGATTTCGCACTGTCTCAGGTCGTTGCATTCGGTCTCTTGAATGTGTTCCATAAATCCGCTTAATAACATCTCGTCTGCACCTCACGTAGAATATAAATAACTTGCAATACTTTCATGAGTTTTAATCAGATTTGTTTACGATTGATAGTATCTGCAGTAGTACAGAGAATATCCACCCTCAAGCTAGATACCTGAATAGTAGTTTCAGGCGTTAGTTAATTTTACCTCCTTGGATGATGATGATGATGATCCAAAACTAACGTTATTGCTTTTAGAGTTCACTTGCGTACAGTTGACGACACATAAAAGTAGACGACTACTCAAGACTATTTTTCCCGAAATCTCTGACATAAAACAATAAACAATACTTACACACTTTTAGAACTAAACAAAACAAATCACAATGACATCTAATCACAATAAGTGTCAAATTTTATTAGTTAATGTTTACTTATAAGCCGGCAGAGGGCGTTTGGTCTTGTGAACTCGGGAATACGTACAATATATGTATGTTTTAATTTGATATTTCAGTTTATTTTCTATACAATTTTATAAGTCTTCGGTTTTCCAAATCTGAACTACTGTTTTTGTTGACCATCCTTCCTCGATTAATGTAATTATTTTAGTTTTTTCAGATATTTTTGAATGTGACATTTTGATAATAGGAAAATTTACGTCAGATTTACACAAGATTCAGAAAGTCAGATTTACACAACCATTTCATGTGTTGTAGAGCAGCCATTTGAGCTTCAGAATAAATAGCTGTTTGCTTCGGAAATTTGCCACAAGAGTAGTTGTAACTCATGAAAAAACGCTTTATATTGTTTTCAATGATAAAAACAATAGATCGAAGTATTAGGAAAAGAAAAAATATAGAAGAAAAAACTACAGTTCGGTCGATGTATGTAAATTTTCCGTGGGAAGAATACAATTTGAATTATTGGATTAAAATGTTAGATTTAATAATAGTCTCGAACGGTTATACATCACAATCCACAATAGTTGAATTTACATTCCCGAAAATGACGTTTTCTCAGATTCCAGATGCGGTATTTTGATTTGCAGGAAGCTTAGGTGACGAGAATGAGGGAACACCAGATAGAAGGGATTTAGGGATATCAAACAGAGAATAAGTCTCTGTTTGAATCAAAGTAATTCCAATTAAACACCAGAGAGCTGGAATAGATCTAAAGTCTATTCTGTTGATTCCAAAGGAATGTGTAGTAATAGAAAATTTTATTTAAACCGCAATAACAACAAATTTATTGTGAATGAATTCATTTGAATGACGATTTCTTGTCCTGTTTGCACGGTATTGACGAACATTTGGAGAAAAGGAAATGGGTTTGTTAAAGTCTACACACAATACATCTGCATGTGTTTTTCTTGCGGATATGTTATTTTCGTTCGAATTGCATTGGATTTCTATTGCATTCGGTTAATAGTCGTTTACATGTTTTCTCAGAAATATAAATTACATTAACGTTTGTAAAGCTTCTGAGTTCAGATAACGTGGGATAATTTTTCGGCTGAACTGGGAAAATGTAACTTCTTACTGCGCTCCTAAAGAATCTTTTAAAAATGAAAATCACCACCAAACAGATACAGAATGACCTGCTAGAGTGAAAGCCTTTAGTTTGCCAGGAACAGATAATTTAGAAAAATAATTATTCCTCATTTTTGATGATAATGGCGGGTGAAACAACGGATGCTGCAAAATCTCAGATTGCGATTGCGATTTTGAGACATATTATCGATGGTGACCCCCCTTGACCTATTCTTGAAAGATGATGTTCTGATAAAGCAGCGGCTAATATGCGATCGTTCAAACAATTTAGTAAAAAATATCCTTTTATGTGTGTTATAGTCGAGAGTGAATTATGACTAAAACTGTTCACATACACAAATAAGCAATTACGTATATATTTTGGATATTGACAAGACATTCCTGACTTTTTTATATTGCACCCCAATGAGTAGAACAAGTGTTGAACAAGACTGTAAACAGAAGGTCGGGCTACAACTCTTTAGAATTTTAATAAGCGGACTATTAATGTTGTGTGCGAAAATAGAAACTCTCTCAATGAGTGGATGGATGAAATAGAAGCAGAGCAATGCACTAACAATTCAGTCTGTGGTACAGTTGGCTTTATTAACCATACATTAAATGATCCTGTCTCTAATTTTTATAAACTTTCTTCCGTAATTTGATCTCCACGTAGACACTCCGTTTAATTAATTTCAGCAAAGGAAAAACGGGCGAACTCGAATAGAAGGCGCCATTGATAATTTGGAACGCAATATCATTTATCAAGACACGAACCACCAGAAAATAAACGATATTGTTCATACAACTGTAAATTTAAAACTGTGCAAAAGACCGATTTCATTTGAAAGGTCATCTAGTAGTTGAGTGAATTTTTTGGGAATACTTTGGAAAATTTGCGTAGAGTCTCCTGAGGATAAACTCACCGATCGTTTCTAATCCAAGTAAAATGTTTAATTATTCCAAAAATAATTAATTATTAAATTATTTACTCATTATTCTCTTCAAAATTTGTATTGGCAAGCAGTCTTGGGGCTGCGTTGAACAATACTAAAAATTATTTAAAATTGTGGTAACGACGTTGTTTCACAGCTATTATCATTCAACTGTTAAAAAAAATGTGTATCCCCAAAATTTAAGTTGAAAGACAAATAGATTAGATTCAAAATTTGCGAACAGAAAATAACGTAGGATTGTCTTGTTTTTATTAAAATAAGGAGGTTTTTTGGCAACAACTTTAAAGTATTACCAGGAGCCAATATTGATCGTTGGTGTATAAAAACGTATTCAAGAAGAAACTGTGGTGGACAATGTGGAAAATAATTATCCACCATGTCAACATATGGTTCTGTGGCATGAATAGAAATTTCTCATTTCTCTAATCAATAAAGCGGAAAATTGCAGTTTATATTTATGGTTGGAACAGGTTTTTGTAACGAACGTTAGAAACTACAAATTACATTTTGACGATATCTGGTTTGTCAAAAGAGATAGACTTTCGAGCCCATTCCTTGAAACCAGTGGGTTTTTTTGGTTTTTAGTCGTAAAATGGAATTTCTTTCTGACGTTTCGTAAGCACGAGGGGCTTGCATCTTCAGAGGTGGTTTGAACGCTTATATTAATTTACAATGTCCATCAGAACAGTGGCGGCTTAAAAACCCGAAAAACCCACTAGTTTCAATATCTGTTTTAAGTCTTTATACTCCTCGAGATATGGTCGGAGCTCAACCTTATCAAAATGTCATACATATGAGGTGAAAAGAAGGGTGTTAGGTTTGCCGTACTGTGACATTTGAAAACACAATTTTATTAATATGTAGAATTATGTAATGCAAAAAAAACGAATTACAGTAGTGATTTTGAAAAGTAGACTACTTGAAAAAAATTTTCAACAAAACTCAGTGATGAATATTTGGAATTCATATGCATAGACTCGAATTAAACAAGCCACCACGTTCATTCCAATGGTTCCACCTTATACTGCAATCATATATTTTTCAGTGCAGACACTTATCAATTAAGAATCGCAACATATTATTAGTTTTCCTTATAAACTACATTCGAAAAATGCGTTTTTCATTGTTGTCTTAAGATTGGAAGTTGAATGAAATTTTGAACATGTTAGTTTCTATCGGTGGGTCATATTTCCCTAGGAATCATATTATTTTAAGTATTTTCAGTGGAGTCCGTAGTAACACGTAACTGGATATAGCCGCAGTAAATCCGGCTCTTCACTGCTTCTATAGAAAATTAAAAACAGGGTTGGATTCTTCATTCAACTTGTAACTAAAAGTTCGCTTTCAATTTTACTGTACTACTCAGATATTACGAGTGAAAATAAAAATCATTGAAAATAGTTGTACAAGTACGACAATAACAAATTGATCTGTAAAAATTGACTGCAAAAGAGAACTAAATTAAATTTTGTTTGGGTTTGTTGTAAGTGCAATACATTCATTAGTTACGCAGTGCAGAAAATGTATTGCGGTGGGAGAACTTACACAGTTACGTTTCGAAAAATAGTTTTACTTTTAATTTCCATTTTATTTTGTAATGGTTGAACGCTTCTAGTCGAATCTGTTTTTGCCCTTTGCATCTGTTATAATTTTTGTATTTCCTCACCGACAAAGAGATAGTTGTTTCTTCGATATTGGGGGTAAAATCCAACACTGTATTTTATTTAATAAATAAGCGGTCGGGTCTCAGTTTCTTTTTAAACATCAAGAAACATGTTAGTGGAACTCCACTGACAGCACTCCAATAATATTTAATTTCGAGACATGCTACCTCGATGCCAGTTACCCGCCAAGTTAAGTTGATTCAGAACTAGTAATTTATAGTTCTTTTATCAAACATTAACTTTTTAATTTTTCGATTCTCTACTAGTTTCTAAAGGTTCTGTTGTTGAAGCGCGTCTATTTTGTATGCGTTTTTTAAATCATTTAAAACAGTAGTAAAATGAATGAGGGTAAAAATAAACCCCAATATACTCGAGCGATCCCCCTGGAATTATAGAGGGGTAGCAACCTGTATTACCATGTTTGCATATGCGAGTATGTCTGTATTTAATGGGTAGTTTAAGATTCACCCCGTGGATTTCATCTGAATTGTTCCCACTAAGATCAAACCTGTTTTTACATGCTAGTCTCAAACAGTCAAATATGTATAAGGTGTTATTTTAAATGCATGTAGTGCTATCAATTTTTTTTTCTTACCTGTGGGTTTTGTCTTGTTCTGAATGATAGATAGGTAGAAAGTTCTTACTAGAGAACTTTCAACTGACTTACTTACAAAAGAAAAAGTTGCGTATAAAAAGTGAAATTAATATTCTTGTACACACAAACATATTAAAAATTGTTTGCTTGACTCTAAATGATCGGACGGGTCCGTTGATTTTCACTGTATTTTTTTAGATTTGTCAAAAACTGAAACGAAAATATATCTTGGTAACGATTTAAAAAATTACGATTCTTCCAGTGTTAAATGTTAAACACCTAATGTGTTTTATGGTTAGCTGCTTTACTTCACGAACAGAAAGTATATAAATTGCACCACTGTATACAGGATGATGCACATCCAACTGTGAAAGATTGTTCATTGCAACAATAGAAGACGTTTGGGTAAGGGTTGTTCACCAACAACAAAAATAGATATTTCTATTCGATGTGATATATCGGTTGATGTACAGAGTGGGCCAAAGTGGACAGTTTTGAATGAAAGCTCCTATTTTTATACCAGATAGACAAAAACTGATGTCTGTGCCTGAGCCACGATTTTTATGATAAAATTACATTAACAGTTTTAGAGATAAAGGGTCTTTTCCAGAAATCTATACTTTTGAAAAGGCTCT